TTCTTTATAAGCCGGGTCGAGTCCACCACGTCCCTGACTTCCTCAGTCGTCAGATCGCAGCCATTGCTGACCTTGATAGCCCCTTGCCCAGACTTGGTGGAGCGTCATCAGAGAGATGATCCCCTTTGGCAACAGCTCATAGAGTATCTGGAGGAAGGCCGCCTGCCGCCGAGGCGTATCCCTCTTCCCCTAGACCAATTCGAACTTCGGGACCGAGTCTTATATCATGTCAAGTCCAATAATGAACGAGCCATGCTTCAGCTCGTAATCCCAAGGTCGCTGTGCGGCGCCGCTTTGGATGCGGTCCATGCCGTACCGTCCGCCGGACATCAGGGCGTCCACAGGACGTATCAGCGGCTAAGGGATCATTTTTACTTTCCCGGGATGTTGGCCGCATCCCGGAGATATGTCACATCATGTACGGCATGTCAACGGAGGAAGGGCGATCGCCCGAACTCCCCTACAGTCCATGCCGGACGTCGCGGAGCCCTTCGAGCGGGTGTCCGTGGATATCCTCACTCTTACCCCTTCGGCGCGTGGAAACAAATACGTCCTTGTGCTGATTGACCATCTTACCCGGTTTGTCGAGCTGTTCAAACCGTAGCAGACGTGTTTCTTGCGGAATTCGTTACTCGGTACGGTCCCCGCGGACCCTATTATCAGATAACGGCCTTGAATTCCGCAATCGTCTCCTTTCCGACATCTGTCATCACCTCCAGGTGAAGTCGCTCTTCACCACAGTCTACCATCCGCAAGCCAACGGTATGGTGGAGAGGGTGAATCGGTGGTCAAGGACGCCCAAATGGATGATCCTGATTGTTGGGACGATCTATTACCGTATGTGAGGTTTGCCATCAATTCCTCCATACACCGGAGCGTAAACGACGTCCCTTTGTACCTTCTCACAGGTCGGGACAGTCATTTTCCGCTCGTGGGATCAAACCACGTAATCTATGCCGAAGGGGCCTTGCCCTCATTAAGATCAAAACTCCGAGCAGCTGGTGAGGCCGCCCGAAAGGCTCGTGAGCGTTGGACCGCCGATCACGATCGAAGGCGGCGGGCTCGACCGCGGGAGTATAACGAAGGGGATCTGGTCTTTGTACATCGCAGCGTTATCCTGCACCCAGTCACGGAACCAGACCCCTGGGTCCCCGATGGTTAGGGCCAGTCCGGGTCTTGAAAAAGCTCGGGCCCGTGGCTTATGTGGTGAGGAGACCGAATTCAGATGGGCAGGAAGTCACCTTGCACCCAAATAAATTTAAAGCATTTCGGGTCACTGCGGAATTCGTCCCTCCGGACAACTTTCCCCGTTTGGACGGCACAGCCCCTCCGGACCCGGAATCGGACATGGGACCTTTACAAGATCCCGGTGCTGATAACCTCTTGGATTCGGAATCCTCGGCCCCGTCATCGGAGGGGGTAGACGATGAACCATGGGACCCTGGGTCTGACTGGGACTGTAACATTTAAGTTACCCCTAAAATAACAATTACATAAATAAAGACTTTGAACAAAACAATCGTGTAAAGTGCAGTGTACACTTCAACTGAAATTTAACATTTTGTTAATTGTGTAATGTAAAATAAAATGTTTCATAAAGACAAACAATTACATAAATTAATATTGTTTATTTTACATAATTATGTTGGTACTTTTACATAATCATCATAGCTATGTAATATGTACTTTTATTCCAAAATAAAGTTGGTTTCGATTGAATACGCTTCTTCTTGATTCCTCACAATTGGTGACCCCTAGACTCGGACCATGTCGCTGAAGACAACTCCTAGTGAAGCGAAAGAAACGCCGAAACTCCTTCCATCCACGCCGTAGCAGTGAAGCTGTCCCCCTTTTGCCCACAAGAAGCTACATCCTGGTTCCGGCGGGCAGAAATCCAGTTTCGCCTGAGAAGAGTCACAGACCCCCGAACGAAGGCAGACTATGTGTTGGAGGCAATCCCCGAGCAGTTATTCCCTCGTGTTGCCGCATGGCTGGACAACCAGGACCAGAACCAAGACGTCGAATATGAAAACTTGAAGAGTTACCTTCTACAAGAGTTCACTCTCTCCGTCAGCGCCCGTGCCCAAAAGCTCCTGAGTCTTCCCCATATACCTCTGGGAGACACAACAGCACATGCAGCATGGAACGAGATGCAGGCTCTCGCTACACTCCCTGACCTCGACCCTACCACCAACAAACCACGGCGTGTGGACTTGATGCGGGAGCTGTGGCTGCAGCGCCTTCCCCCCTCTGTAAGATCTGCCCTGCATGAAGCCGACGACAGTCCCATAAACGATCTCATAAAGAAGGCAGACAATCTCATCAATGCTGCCAGAGCATCTCGAAAACCTGACACAACCTACTCTGCATCCGCCGAGGACGTCCCTGACATCAATGCTGCTAACAAGCGACGACCCAACTCACAGGTAAGACACTACAAACCTGGAAGTGCCTCTTCCCAACCATCACATGGATTTTGTTATTACCACTACAGGTTCGGAGCAGGGGCCCACAAGTGCCTACCTGGATGCCAGTGGCCAAAAAAACGTGTAATGGGGCCACCACTCCCCGCTAAGGTGGCAACCCAGAACCCGAGACGCGGGAACGTCAACGCACTTGACAACTCAGCATCGGGCTTCTTTATTACGGACTCCCTATCTGGTCGCAAATTCCTCGTGGATACAGGCGCATTCCGTTCTCTGTTCCCAGCCACAGCAGAAAACAAAACTCGTTCCTGGACACGACCATCAAATTGTCAATGGAAGCCCCATCCCAATGTACGGTATCCAGACTATACCCATTCAAGCCGCCGGACGCAGCTTCACTTGGGACTTCATCATTGCTGATGTTAAGACACCTCTTCTGGGAGCAGACTTCCTCGGGCACCACGGACTACTCGTTGATGTCGCCAATCGTAGACTATTGGATGTAACAACCTTCTGCTCTACACCCCTAGGTTCCAATCATCAGTACACAGAAATGCACTGTGAGAGCAGATACCCCTTACGACAGCCTCTGCAAAGAGTACCCAGACGTTTTTCGACCAGAACTCCGTCAGCAGCCTGGACAGCCAGCCAAACATGGAATATTCCATTACATCAAAACGACAGGCCCTCCGGTACACTCAAAATTCAGGCTTTATCTCCAGAGAAGCTTCAAGCAGCTAAACAAGCTTACTCCGAAATGGAACGGATGGGCATCTGTCAAAAGGCATCAAGTCCCTGGGCATCTCCTCTGCATCTTGTGCGGAAACCCGAAGGCACCTGGCGACCATGTGGTGACTATAGGCGTCTTAACCTGATCACAGAACCAGACCACTATCCTCTTCCCAACATGGCGGACCTAACCTCTAACCTTCATGGTGCCAAGGTTTTCTCTAAACTCGACCTCCTGAAAGGCTACTTTCAAGTACCAGTATACCCTGAAGACATACCCAAAACAGCAGTCATTACACCTTTTGGCACTTACACCTTTAATTTCTCCACATTTGGCCTACGAAATTCAGGGCTACCTTCCAACGCATGATGGATGGCATTCTCGGAGACCTTCCCTTTTGCGCGCCTATGTTGATGATATCCTCATCTTCTCAGGAGACCCCAACGAACATCTCCAACACTTACGGGTCGTGTTAAAACGACTCCATAATAACGGCCTGGTGGTGCGTCAAGACAAATGTCAATTTGGTGCCACATCCGTGGAATTTCTCGGGCACAAGATTTCGCCAACAGGCGTCTCACCCCTTCCAAGTAAGGTAGACGCAGTTTCACGATTTCCCCACCAACCACTATCAAAGGACTCCAAGAATTTGTCGGCATGGTAAATTACTACCATCGTTTCCTTTCAAAGATTGCACACATCATGGAACCACTTTACAACTCCCTTGCCGGCAAACCAAAGAAATTGGAGTGGGGACCTGAGCAACAAAAAGCGTTCGAGACCACCAAGATTGCCCTTGCATCAGCTACAACTCTCACCTTCCCCACACCAGGCATTCCACTTACCCTTACCACAGACGCAAGCTCCATTGCTGTTGGGGCAGTCGTTGAACAGACCATAAGGGGTAAGACACATCCTCTTGTTTTTTTTCAGCAGAAAGCTACGTCAAGCAGATGAGATACAGCACTTTCGACCGCGAACTACTCGCTGTTTATCTTGCGGTGCGTCACTTTAAACATCTCTTAGAAGGCAGCGCATTCACCATCCTCACAGATCACCAGCCACTGGTACATGCTTTTTCCAAACCTGGTGATGCTTGGTCGGACAGACAACAGCGGCAACTCTCCAGCATCGCCGAGTTTGGCTGCTCTATCAAATATACACCAGGGAGTATGAATCCTGTAGCTGACGCACTATCAAGGGTGGAAATAAACTCTATAACCTCGGAATTGACTACAATGAAGTAGCAGCAGCCCAAAAAGATGACCCAGAGACTACAGAATACCACACAGCCATCACCAGCCTGCAGTGGAAAGATGTTCACATTGGAGGCGAAGGCCGCACCATTCTGTGTGATGTAAGCACAGGTCGCCCACGCCCCCTTATCCCAAAATCTTTCCGCCGAAAAATCTTCAACCTCATCCATGGTCTATCACACCCGTCTGGACGAACAACTGCTCGTCTGATGAAGGATAAATTCATCTGGCACGGAATGAACAAAGACATCAAACAGTGGGCTCGATGCTGTGTTGCCTGCCAGATGAGCAAAGTAAGTCGTCACACTGAATCTGGCACAGGAGAATTTCGGCAGCCCATGCGCCGGTTTGGACATCACGTCGATGTAGTGGGACCCCTTCCACCTTCAGACGGCGCTCAGTATCTATTCACTGCTACAGAGCGCTCCACCCGCTGGCCGGAGGCAATTCCCATGCAACACACCACTGCCCGAGACTGCAGAAGCTCTATTACACGGATGGATCAGTCGTTTTGGCGTTCCAGACGACATTACCTCTGACCGCGGACCTGCCTTCACATCTCAACTTTGGACATCTTTAGGAGAATTGATGGGATCAACTATCCATCACACCACCTCATACAACCCAGAAGCCAACGGTATGGTGGAGCGGTCCCATCGTACTCTGAAAGCAGCGTTAATGGCGCGCTGCACTAAATCAGACTGGAAAGCTCAACTTCCCTGGGTTCTTCTCGGGATCCGAACATCCCCAAAAGAGGGATTACAAGTTTCCCCTGCTGAAATGGTGTTTGGGGAAGCCCTCACTGTTCCAGGGGAGTTCTTCCCGAGTCTAGATACCCCTACAGATTCTGAGCACCTCACCAAACTACGCCATGCTGTTGAGAAGTACCGACCATGCACTCAGACGCACTCAACATCTCCACAATACCTTCCCAAGCTGATCCACAGCTGCAAATGTATTCGTAAGAAATGACGCTCACAGGTCACCCCTCACCCCCCGTACCGCGGGCCATATGCTGTCTTGGAGCGTAACCCCAAGGCATACCGTCTCAGCATTGGTGGGAAGAGCGACTGGGTATCCATTGACCGCTTAAAGCCTGCATACCTGGAAGAAAAGGAACCTACACCAACCACGCCTCTGGCTGATAACCCAGCTCACACCGTACCTCCTTCAAATGCACCTGCCCATGTCTCACATCCTGAAGATAAACCCTTTCAAATCTCCTCGCGTTCTGGTCGACTAATTCGCCAACCCAACCGACTCGACCTCTAACAAGCCATGGATTTTCTTTCGGGGGGAGTATTGTAACATTTAAGTTACCCCTAAAATAACAATTACATAAATAAAGACTTTGAACAAAACAATCGTGTAAAGTGCAGTGTACACTTCAACTGAAATTTAACATTTTTAATTGTGTAATGTAAAAATAAAATGTTTCATAAAGACAAACAATTACATAAATTAATAATATTGTTTATTTTACATAATTATGTTGGTACTTTTACATAATCATCATAGCTATGTAATATGTACTTTTATTCCAAGATAAAGTTGGATTCGATTGAATACGCTTCTTCTTGATTCCTCACAGGACGAGTAGGGAGCAAGACACTTTTCCTTTTCTTCCGCTTACCATTATATTTCTTTTTTCAGAGCCCCAGCGGGATGCATGCTGCCCTCTGTTGATTACCAGTCCGTCCTGTAACATAACCCTGTATGACTTGGATCCTAACACGCTTGCAGCCTGTTCTTTTTCAGAGCCTTCCCTTCATCCAGCCCGTGGAGTGAGGAATACCCTTGACGGTAGTCAACCCGACGACACATTACTAATCCCATCTTCCCCCTTCTAATGTTCAGTCGCCCTGTTTCTTCTACTTATTTCGTTCTAAACTATTTCTACTTTTCAGATCATCTCCAGATGGACGGCGGCAGGGCCCAGCAGCCAGCTTCTGTCCTGTTCTGATCCTGTTCTCTCGTTTCACACCCGCCCTTGAGCCACGCGGGTTTTCTCGCCTTCTGCCTTCGTTTCTGGCAGGGTCGCGCTTTCGTCCTGAACGTCTGCAAAAACCCTGTACAGATAAGATTTTCTCTGAGTTTGGCCAAGCTATGGCTTGTTTTCACCCCGATCGACAGTGTCCCGGAGCTGAGCTCGGTCTACGCTCTTTCCCCATGACGGGAACGTAGAGGTGGTTCTCTGTAAAGACCTGTAGGAATTTAACTTTTCTACGGAGTATTCCTGTAAATAGCTCCCTTTCCTATCGTCCTCTTAATCTTCTTCTCTGCCTTTCCTATCAATGTAGTCTAGTGTAACACCAGGTTTGGGTTATTTTAGCGCATTGTATTATTTTAACTGTTATTTTTGTGTAAACTTTTGTATGTTTTTGTTTGCCGAAAGATTTTGAGTTTCAGCCTCTTAATCAGGTGTTCCCTCTTCGTTTTGTTCTTTTAATTGCATGTTGTGCATATGTTCTTAACTTTAAGTTTGTTTTTCTTAGTTTTATGATAATTTTAAGATGTTTGTTTTCTTAATAATATTTTACCGTCGAGGTTCCTCTCCCAGCTTCTCAGAGCAATGTCCAAGGAGGTCTTTTATTGGGGTAAGCTCTGTTGACACCCTTTACAGATCGCCTGAGAAAGCGGTAATTATACATACGGAGACATTGCCTCCCTCTACGCCCACTAATTCATTAATTTTAAGTCAGATCCTCCACCGGATCCGATCGGCGCAGCCAGATGGTCGGCTTCGCATTATAACATTTATGGTTGTGTGTTACTTATGCACTTCATAATGCAGTGTGTGTTAGAACACGCCAGGCCCAAAGAATAAACCCAGTATGTCTAATACACTCTTGTGTCCGCAGACATGGACGACGACGCTTCGAGGGCTCCAAAAGGTTCCACCCCTTTGGTCTAAGGCGATTCGTTCGCCAGCTCTCCTTACACAGGTGATGGTGCCATGCTGATAACGGCTCCAGCTGATCTTCCGCACTGGTGTGCGGCGCACTCATATGTGCCCCGCAGTTCTGATACCTGGCGTGCGGGCGCTCCCCATGCGCACCCGCCTTCCGATGTGGATTTGATGCGCACCCGCCTTCCGATGATCCGCACTGATGGCGTGCGACCCGCACTGGCGTGCGGGCGCGCTCCCCATGCGCACCCGCCTTCCGATGATCCGCACTGGCGTGCGGGCGCGCTCCCCATGCGCACCCGCCTTCCGATGGACCGCACTGGCCTGCGGGCTGCGCACCCGCCTTCCGATGATCCGCACTGGCGCGGGCGCGCTCCCCATGCGCACCCGCCTTCCGATGACCGCACTGGCCTGCGGGCGCATGCGCACCGCCTTCCGATGATCCGCACTGGCTGCGGCGCTCCCCATGCGCACCCGCCTTGATCCGCACTGAACCGCCTTCCGACGATCCGCACTGCGTGCGGCGCGCTCCCCATGCGCACCCGCCTTCCGATGATCCGCAACTCCCATGCGCACAGCACTGAACTCGACCGCCTCTCCGATGTCCCCGTGACGTGCGGGCGCGCTCCCCATGCACACCCGCCTTAGGATGGATCCTCCCTGAGATGTTCGCCGACGTGATGGTCTTCGCCCTTTACACTTCGTCAGAGCCGACCGTTTCTCTGGTTCCTGAAACCCTTCGGGCGCCTTTCCTTCTGTCTCTCGATCGTACCTCACGAGAGATGGAACGAGTACCTCGCAGACACACCTGTTGTTTAAGGAGTCTCTCCTGCGATACTCGTCTTACTCGTCCCCTACTTAGGCGACGCACTGCCCGGGGGAGGTGTTGTAGTGTACGGCTGCGTACGTCCCGACTCTAAGGATGATGTCATCTCCATGAACCTCGGCCAACGCATCACGAGCCGCCGGAGACCACGTGCGGTTACATCCCGCAGACGTTTTTTTTTTTTTTTTTTTTTCACCTGCGACTGAGTCCCGCAGGCTTTCTTATTCATTTATTTATTTATTTTTACGTTCAGCCATCAGTCAAGAAGGACTGTGGTGATAATGTGAACTTTGTTATTTTATAACCATGAACATAATTCTAACCAAGTCTCACTACTTTTATGGCGTTGAAGTCGCCAAGCCAAACTATTTATTTATTTTTAAACATGAATATTGTAAATATGTTATGGCCGAAATGCACACACCTTTGTCTACCTTTCCATGACTGAAAATGCCTGTAACTCCCTAGTGAGTGCAATTTGCTCCCAAAATAAACATCATACCATCATAGAGCTTTTACTCAACTCCAGTCAGAATAATTCATAATCTTACCACCACTAAAGTTCTGGTTCTGACCAAGGTTAGATGCCTAAATCTTTCTCAGACTCGGGTCTCCTAAACAGCACATTGCTGGTTGCTCTGACATCACGCAACCCTTGAAAGGCTGTAAAAAGGCTAGATAAATCAGAGAATATTAAGCTGATATCAAAAGAAGATTCATTTTGCTATACCTGTGTTCCCGCTCCCAGCAGGCGGATGCTCAAACCGAAGGAAAATAATTCTATGATCTTGCTTTTTTCTTCCAAACACGTCCACGCAGACGCTCAGCCTACGCTATCTCCCTTTTCACATCTACACACTTACACATCCAACATTCAGCACACACATTCTGTACTTTCCTTCCACCCTTCTCTGATACAACACCCACACCCACTTACACGACATACAGGGTTCCCGAACCTACTAATCGGGTGGTGGCAGCGTGCCGTAGGCCCGGAACCTTACATCTGTTCACTACAGACGAATCTTTCCCTTGAGCAAAAACCATATTCTCGGTTGAGCCCGGACTCAACCAGACCACTTAAAATCTACTGGGTCTACGCCCCGCTACAATTATCATTATTATTCTCATTATTATTGCAGTTATAATAATTATTATGCTAATTATTATTGCTATTTTTATCATTATAACTATTTATATAAAGATAATAGCAATAATGATGATCTTATAATTAATAATGATAAATAATAATTATAATGACAATGATAATGATATTATTATTTCTATTGCCATTAGTATGAAAATTATTGGAATAGAGTTAATTATTGCTATTATTGCAGTAATTCTCAAGATTATCATTATAATTATGACTTTATCATTATTATCATTATTATTGTTATTATCATTGTCATTATCATCATAATTATCATCATTATTGTCAGTAATAAAGGAATCATCATGGAAATCATCATAATTACCTGAATTAATGTTAAAATCCTTATAATTACCATTAAAAAGCGAAAAGGGTTTTTACGTTTCTCTCAAAAGGCTGTAATACGCTAGATTTTGCCATTTTTTCGACTTTTGGATTTTATTACTTCTGGCCTTTATTTCATTATAAATGGACTTAATGATAATTATTATAAATATTATCATTACTGTCATCATTTTTATGATTATCATTATAGTCATTATCATCATAATTATCATTATCATCATTATTGCAGTTGTAATATTATCATGCTAATTATTATTGCTATTTTTATCATTATAACTATTCATATAATGATGATAGCAATAATGATGATCTTAGAAATAATAATGACAATAATAATAATTATAAATAACAATGATAATGATGTTATTCTTATTTCTTTTGCCATTATTAGTATGGAAATTATTGGAATAGAGTTATTATTGCTATTATTTCAGTAATTATCAAGATTTCATTAATAATTATGACTTTTCATTATCATTATTGTCATTATCATTGTCATTATCATCATAATTATCATCGTTATTGTCAATAATAAAGGAATCATAATGGAAATCATATAATTACCTGAATTAATGTAAAAATCCTCATAATTACCATTAAAAAGCGAAAAGGTTTTTTTCGACGTTTCTCTCAAAGGCTGTAATACGTTAGATTTTGCATTTTTTTCGACCTTTGGGATTTTATTACTTCTGGCCTTTATTTCATTATAAATGGACTGAATGATAATTATTATAATTATTATCATTACTGTCATCATTTTTGATATTATCATTATAGTCATTATCATCATTATTATTATTATCACCATTATTGCAGTTATAATAATTATTATGCTAATCATTATTGCTATTTTTATCATTATAAATATTTATATAATGATATAGCAATAATGATGATCTTAGAAATAATAATGACAATAATAATAATTATAATGACAATGACAATAATGTTATCATCATTTCTATTGCCATTATTAGTATGGAAATTGTTGGGATAGAGTTCATTATTGCTATTATTGCAATAATTATCAAGATTATCATTATGATTATGACTTTATCGTTTATCCTTATTGTTGTCATTATCATTGTCATTATCATCATAATTATCATCATTATTGTCAATAATAAAGAAATCATCATCATGGAAATCATTAAAATTACCTGAATTAATGTTAAAATCCTCATAATTATCACTAAAAAGCGAAAAGGTTTTTTTTCTACGCTTCTCTCAAAAGGCTGTAATACGCTAGATTTAGCCGTTTTTCGACTTCTGGGATTTTATTACTTCTGGCCTTTAATATCATTATAAATGGACTGAATGATAATTGTTATCAATATTATTGACAATAATGATAATTATGATGATAATGACAATGAAAATTGCAGTAATTATAATCTTTATAATTACTGCAACAATAGCAATAATTATCATTATCATTGTCATTATAATTATTATTATTGTCAATATTATTTCTAAGATCATCATTATTGCTATAGTCATTATATAAATAGTTGTAATGATAAAAATAGCAATAATAATTAGCATGATAATTATTATAACTGCAATAATGATGATAATAATAATGATAATAATCATAAAAATTGTGACAGTAATGATAATAATGATGATAATAATTATCATTCAGTCCATTTATAATGAAATAAAGGCCAGAAGTAATCAAATCCCAAAAGTCGAAAAAAACGGCAAAATCTAGCGTATTACAGTAATAATTATAATTATTATTATCGTCATTATTATTTCTAAGATCATCATTATTGCTATTATCATTATACAAATAGTTATAATGATAGAAATAGCAATAATAATTAACATAAATATTATTATCACTGCAATAACGATGATGATAATAATAATGATAATCATGATGATAATGACTATAATGACAATAATCATAAAAAACTATGACAGTAATGATGATAATGGTAATGACA